TGATGGTGGCAGCGGTGTAATTTATTTATTTAGATTGTCAAAGTCTCACTGCCGAATAGCTTACATGATCTATTCCAAAAAATATATATACATATGGATGTTTGTTAAACAAAATGACGGGCGATAGCTTTGTTATTGTTGTATAACAATGTATATTACTACTGTTATAATATGTAATAATAATATTTGCATTGCTTGTAATAATGGATAGTAGCTTATCTAATATTCAATAAAAAAGGAGATAATGACGAGATATTGAATTACTAGGAAATAACTCGTTAAGATTAATTTAAATGAAATTCTATCACCGATTGTAATGTTTATGGGAGTAATATACAGTATTTGTTAAGTTGGATTAATTAATTAATAAATATTGAGAATAAGGCAGTAATTGATAACACTTTGTATTACGTATTGAAATAATAATTTGACTTTGTTTAACGCTAAAACATAGATTACTATTAATTTGAGTTCTAATTTTTTGTATGACAAGTCATTGTATGACTCCTATGTATTTTAATACCATTTTTGTTTTTTATTTATAATTTAAATTCTTGACATATTTTTTTTTGTCTAAATATTGGGCGATGATATGAACATATATGTATGTATAAGGCAATGTTTATTTCAATTGAGCACATACACGTTTTGAATATGCCCCAAATTTTCTATCCGTAAAAAAATTCCTTGGACTTTGCACGATTGGCCGTGCCTCCTTTACTTAATTTTTTTCTCGTGCTGTTTTTTTTTTTGCAAATGGAAAATTTTTTTGCCACGTAAAGAGCTTATATTGTTTTCACGAGTTTTCTGTTTCTTAACGTCAATGGCCAAAGTCTAAATGAATGAATGTACAACGATCAATGTCCACGCAATGTCAAACAGGAAGATAATTGCTGATGAGCCACCGCCTCCTCCTCCTTTCACCAGAAACACATGGACATAATCATTGGATAATTGCCATAAATTTGAAATATGCTTTGACAAGACACAGAGAAATCATTCATTATTGGATTATAGGAAAATTCCATGATTCCATGATATTTAGTGGTTTTCTTTAAAGAAAATATTTAATTTTTTCATTTCATTATTAATATTTCAGTATATGTGTCATCGATATGGATGTTTGATATCTGATCCTCCAATAACCGAAAATAATGCCTACAGTGATATTTATTCCACAGATTTTAGGAGGGATCATTTTTTTGTAGTGGGATCACTGGGCTTCTCTGGGTAGGTATTTTGAATGATGGCATCACACAGGGATTGGAAATCACACAGAGATATAAGTTATCGATTTTTATACCCTCACTGAGCCATTGCGTTTCTCTAGGTATTTTGAATGTTGGCATCGCATAGGGATTTGAAATCACAAAGAGATTCAAGTTTCCGATTTTTATACCCTCCGCCATGCTTTGACAAACGTAATGGCAGATTAAATATAACCTAATTCTGCCATTACGTTTCTCACTCCTCGAAGTACTCACGTTAGAACCTACAAGGTATATAGCTTCTTCATCGCTTTAAATTTCTAAGTCGAGTTAGTGATGTCCATCCGGCTGTCTGCTGTAATCACGCTATCTTTAGAATTAATTAAGATTGAAGGAAATTTTGCACACATGTATATTTTGTTTTGTCAATTACATCATAAGGCCATGTCAGTCCATTTTTCCGATTTTTTGTATTTTGACGATTTCTCCTACATTTTCCATCGAGATTGTTTAAAATTCGGTGTTTGCAGTTGTTAATGGGTTCTAACTTCGGTAGCAGAAGATTGTCTATATAAGTCCCCGTTGTCGTATATTTAAAGTTCGTAGAGGCAGAACCTCCTGTGGTAGAACATTGTCAATATATGTCTACGTCGTAATGTAGTCCCAATATAAGCATTTTTCCACGAAATTGTTTGAAATGTGGCATTTAGGGTTTGATATGGATTCTACCGAATGTTGCTCATTTTCAGCTGACCACTTTGGCAAGTAAACACGATCATTTTGTTTGTTTAAAAACTGCTGAACAACAAATGTTTTCTTATCGAAGAAAACCAAATTTGACAGTTCACCACTTTCGGCCAAGCGAATCAACTCTTAAGATCTTTTGAGTATATTTTTTTCTGTTGCGGTGAAAGTTTTTGCACTTTTTGGAATTTCAATGGCTTTACCTCGAGCTCGCTCTTCAATATTTGACGAATGCCGAACGCGCCATTTTTCGGCAACTGCGACGCGGGTTACGATCAAGTCGCTTCTTCCGTCCACTTCCTTGACGTCGGGCTATGCTACCAGTATCACGGTAGCGAGCGATGGTACGAGACATAAATGATTTATTCACATTTAAATGCTGGAGTGCTCTAACGATAACCACTTATAGTTTTCTAGCCAAATGTAAAGAAATCACACTATCACGCTTGAATTCCATCACAAATAACTTTTTTCTGGAAAATTCTCATCAAAATGCTTATGTACGCTTGTAAACAATATATGAGTTGTAACTGGAACAATTTCAACAGCTGTCGGACGAGTGGCTTAGAAATGACAGCAGTCTGAAGTTTGTTGCAGTTTTTTCATCTCACCCTATGTAGTAGAATTTTATGGTAAATACATTTTTAGGATATTTTGTCTTGCTACGATTCCGTTTAAATGGAGTTTTAAGCTATTTTTTTAAAAAAGGGCCAAAAAAGGGTTACACTTTTCGACCAAAATAAACCTCGAATTACCTAAAATGTAATTATGCCAGAGAATCTTTATCCAAAATTTTCAAAAAAGTGCAAGAGGGTAGAACTTGTCCTCTTTAGTTGTTTACCTTCCAATGTAAACAAAGCGACGATACACTTTTCTTCTAGTTTATTGGGCCAAAAAGTTTGTAACACTTCGAAATATTGACCCAAGACATAGGGTGTTATATATGGATCTTCCTATCTCGCCGAGCTGAATCGATATAGCTATGTGTGTCTGCCCCTCCATTTGTCCATGTTAAATTGTCACGTTACAGGTCGCAATAATGGTTAAGGTCAAAATAGGAGCCTATTGTTTTTGGAGATCATTGCCAAATTCTTAGGGGTTGAAATGGACCAAAAAGCAGAAACATTTCTTGATCTTACAGTTGCTCTAGAGTTTACAATTTTATAAACCAGAATCGAACTCGAAATTTGTCAAAAATTATCAGGAAGTTCTACAGACACAGTCCTTAACAAAGGTGTGAGTCAAACAACGACATTTTCTGTGTAGACAAACAATTCAATTTCTTACGTGATCTAAAAATTCTTTGCAATGCTTTAATAAATTCAGTATCTATTCCAAAACGCGTTTACGACACGTCCACGTGTTTTACAAAAATATTTTTTACATAGCATAATATGAGAAATGTTAATGCCCTTTTTATTTTTCTCCCTCCTCCAACGTTTTTATTTTTTCCTCTTTTTTTATTTATGGAAACAAAAAAAAAATAAAGGGAAGGGGGTGTCGGGCCATTAGAATCATTTCGAATGCCCTTCGATGAGGTCTTCATTACGTACTGCCTTTTTGGGGAAACAAGTTTATTACTGTTGTTGTTTTTCGAAAGAAAGACTAAGTGTTGTTGTTGTTCACAACACCATCTTTACTTTTACTTTCATTTCACCCCTATTGTGGTAACAATGCTTATCTATCTGTCTGTATATGGTGTTGCGTTCTTTTTAATATATAGAAATTATTTATAACGATGTTGTAAATATTTAACCAGCTCTTATTGAAACTGCAATAATGGTGTATTTTCGTAATGGTTCTCTTCGATACCTACCAGTAATGACAACAACAACAACCAAGATAATTTTTCTATTTGTTTCATTTTATTTATGACAGCTATTTGGAAATACTATAGGTATTTACGTATTGGCTATTGAGCACTACTTTGTAATCTGCCAACAAATTCATTCACGTTTATTACCACATCAACTCAACAAGTTATCTAAAGATTTAGTATTTGTTTATGAAATGTTGTTTAAAAAACTATTTATTTGTAGTTGGGTGAAAATGACGATCGTGAATTCCGTGTGATTTTGTTGTTCACTTATCTTTTATTACAAAACAAATGTTTGTGATTTGCCGCTGTCATTGTATCCAAGGAATAGAACTGTAAAATATTGAGTATGAAGATTTGTATTGAAATAAGTTATTGTAAATAAAATGTAATTCAAATTGCCTATCGGTAATTTCAGCTTTCGGCATTAACTTAATAAACAGTTTAGGGAAACGGGCCGAAATTCTAGATCCATCCTCCAGCTGAAACGACGGCAAATATTTCGTAGTCGTACAATATATATACCAATATGAAAATGCATCGAACATTCTTTGTGAAATAAAAATAGTATGCCCAATGAAAGACTGTGTTGCAGGCCGTTCACATTCGGCGCAAAAAGGCAACAAATATATGGGGCCGGGTTTTTTGGCAAAACCTGTCCACAACCACCGCAGAAATTATCCCAATTCTGTTGGTAGTGCATCCCATAATTGGTCCTCAAATGGATTTGCTCAGTTTTCTTGGGTTTTTAGTGAGGATGGTGAGGATGCTTCGAGATTTCAATTTGCTTGTAATTTCTGCGGGGTGTGTAGTCTGGGTGGCGATGGGATCAAAATGCCGGAAATGGTTTGATAGGGTTCGCTACGTACGAAATTAGGCTCGAACAGGGTTGAGTTAAAGAGTATTATAAAGGTAGTGAATGACAGGGTGACTCAGGCTAAGAAGTGACTAGGCAGCCCTATGATTGCTGAGTAGGTGGGAACCTACTACTACTCCGGGGTGAGCTGAAATGAGAATTCACAATAGAATAAAAAATGGCTATTGACAGTTGAAAAGAAAAAGGAATGAAAATTGAAAATGGCTCAGGAAAATGGTGTTTCGTGGAAAATGAGCGTCTGGCGGGATTCACTGAGAAGAGGGGTATAAAAGGCTGCGAGCATAAGAAAAGCCAAAGTTAAGAATAAGACGTTACCGGTGAAACTTAGCTAGAGAGCAGTGAAGAAGTGGAAAAATTTAATTTGTGTGTTGCGATTTTTTTATTGTGTAAGTAGTTTGTAACAGTGGTTTGTTGAGTAATGTGTTGTTATATGTGATGTGTGTTGCTCCAACAGGAATATTCCGGTGGTGTATCAAGCTTTTTTGGAAGCACCGAAAATTGTCCGGTTTTGGTCAGCACAACGGCGGGAAATTGCCTTTTCTTTTTGGTAACGCAAGGTAGTGGCAAGTTGTCCACAGGAGAAAAAAGCCAAAAAAAGTTACATTGAGGGTGTGGAGATTTGAATTGTAAACTGGCCAGCTGCAACTTTGAGCTTTTTGCTGTGCCTGTTATTGATCCCGCCCAGAACGCCGGCATTGTAAAAGGACCAGTCAACAAGTCCAGCTTCATTTCAGGGTTTGCCTGGCGTTCAAAATCTGTTTCCTCCGGAAAGAAGCGTAAACTGGGAGAAGAGATAAGAAGAATTAATCAATAACGTTATAAATCACTGCTCAGGTAAAAGGTGTCTTACCGTTGTGTTGTCCTTGATAGATATATTTATATATATATGTGACGTCCATAAAATTTGCTGTCTCCTTTTTGGGAACTAAAAGAAAAGAAAAAAAGAGTTAATAATCATAAATTTCGAGAAAAAAAATATAATATTCAGTATAAAGATTTAGTAATAAGATAGGTTATAGTTCTTAGGATTTAAGTAATAATCAGTTTGTAAGGGAAAAATACCGCGTTTATTTTCAAAGGCTAGGAGGTGTTACAGTAAAATTATCTTGAGTCCTTGTGATTCGATCTGATAGTTTAGGCCGTGGAATTTTAGCGGCAATTAGGCCGGTTAAGAGAGCTCTTTTAGGTGGCTAGTAATTTCGTATAGACGCGTGAATATTGCGCGGGAAAAGCAAGGCAAAGGATAATATATTGGTTTCTACCGAGTAATTAAAGCCATAGATTTAAGAAAGCCCGGTATTATTCTTAATTTGTTTTTTTTTATACCATACAGTTTGTCAATTTTAGTGTAAGAAAAAAAATAGTAGAGAAAAAAATTAAGAAAATATTTAAAGCTAACTTATTTTTTTTAATAAAATTAAAAATGATTCTTTTGTAAACAGTAGATACTAATATGTGTTGCTAAGTTTGTATAGCTTGGGGGGAAGGTGGTATGAAGTAAGTGTGTGATTCGAAGCGTGTGGCTCAAGGGGATTCAGAGAAACGCAAGAAATGGAAATACTGGATCCAGGTAGGGTGGGCGAGTGTGGGATCGATCCACCGAGATCCCTGTATGATGACTCCTATTTTGTATATCGTAGAGTAGAGCAATTGTAGTAAAGTCCCCTTTCAATGTTAGTGTGTTGGATTCGATTGGCGGGTTGAGATCCCTAGCCCTGGGAGTCTCTGTGACAGTCGGATGGCCTAATCGTATGCCGAGCATATGCACACATAACAGAGATGGCGCCCAATATTCTAAAATAAAGCTTTATTGTACCTGATACCACTGTCAAAAATGGCGACTCAAACATGGCCGTGTTAAACTGTGATATTAGGTTAGTAACTCTGTGCAGTAACATCGACGCACACAGCCATAGAATGCTAGTAGATTTTAAATAGACAAAAGAAAATGTTTTTGACAAATAATATTCTGTGATATTAGTATGCATCCGAACTTTAGAGAGATGGGTTACGAAGTGCGATATTACTATATCAAATATATTATGGGAACGTTTTCTCCACTGTTCTAAGTAGGGTGTAATCAATAGCTTGTAATTCCGAGCTGGAATAAAACAATTTGTATTGAGAATCCTACTGTTAAAATTTGTTTTTGTGAAATAACCCAAATAAATTATAGACAGGAATAAGTACATCGAGTAGCAGCAATAGCGATTTTGATCTGAGAGATGCAAAAATCTTAGTATTGCATATAAAAACCCTGAGCTTTCATTTATGAAATGTAATAGATATGTCAGGGGTCCGAAGTTAACAAAGCACTATAATTTATTAGAAGAATAAGAATGTCTAAGGGAAGAGTCATACACCTCATAAAGGGCACTAAAATTATTAAAAAAAAATAATAATAATAATAAAAAAATAAATAAATAAAAAAAAACCACACACACACTGCTTCTGAAAATTACACTTCCCCCGTAGATCTATGTTGTAATTGTCAAATATGTGTAATTGTAATCGAATGTATTTATAAAAAGTATTTGTTTTGCCGATGTTTCATATTTGAAAAAAAGGTTAACTGAATTTAAAACTTACTTACAAGAAAAGGTTTCTTCCGAGATTCAATTGATAACAAATGAGAAGATAAATTTTGGGTATAGGTCATGATCTACAATACCCGCAATAGTAAAAGAAATAAGAGAGGCAGACCCGAAAATTTTGACCTAAACCGATCGACTTATTTTCCAGAGCAGAGCAAGCAAAGACGAATAGGGTCGGACGAAATGGCGAATGAGGATAGGAATATGAGTGCTTTGCAATTTATCGATCTAGCAGACACGATAATGCGAAGAGATCAGAACACCAATCATGTGCCAACAGTGAGTGATAATTTGAATAATAATGGTCCAACTACTTCCGACTTACATGGACTAGTACAAGATGAAGCAGCGTCTGTCCAGAAGTCATTGGAAGATAAAGTTAAAAAAATGGTCGAAACAGAAATATCTGATGTGAAGAAAATGATAGATTCTTTATCAAAAGGCATGAGAGAACTATCCGACACTGTGCGTAAACAATTAATTGTACCCCCAACGGCTACGGTAGCCTCTAATTCTATTACAAATAGTAATGCTAATCCGACGTCAAACAATAATAATGACGCAGTAAATAGGAATATGCCACCAATTATCCAATTTCCGAGTGCTAGTCAAACTCCATTATCAGATCAATTTACTGGCCCGATAACGAATACGTTTAGAGTGGAACCACTAGGAATACGAGTTGATAAACTTGGTTTAAATTTCAGTGGTGACCCGAAAGGCTTAAGAGTTATGGATTTTATTAAGCGGTTAGAGATCATGCAGGCTCAATATAATATTCCATGGTCTGAAGTGTTGAGGGATTTCGCCTTTCTGGTTTCTGGTCAAGCCAGAGAATGGTATTGGCTGCATAGACAAAGTAATGTTTACACCGATTGGGTGGGTCTTAAAGAAGCGCTGATAAGCCAGTATCAAACCCCACAATCCAAATTCGACATACTCAGGGATTTGTTAGAAAGGAAACAAAGGCCAAATGAAAGCATCAATAGTTATTTTCACGAGATGGGAATTTTGCGATCTAGATTACTTCAACCTATTTACGAGTACGAAATGATTAAGATCCTAAGGGGAAATATACGTGAAGATATAAAACGACATGTATATCAGATGACCATTTCGTCGGTTGAACAGCTACGAATAGAATGTATTGAAGCCGAGAGAAATTTCCCTAGGCGCGAAAATAGAGCTGTAACGTTCCCCCAGCGACCTATCCGCCAAGTAAATGAAATATATGATGAAATTTATGAAAAGCCTGTAGAAGTACCGGAGGAGAATATTGGTGAAGAGCTGTCAGCTATCCGGATACAAAGCCAAATTAGAGTCCCAATGATCTGCTGGAACTGTCGAGAAAAGGGGCATGTTTTTATGGACTGTCCAGTAGAAGTCCGGAAATTGTTCTGCTATAGGTGTGGGAAGCCGGACACAGTAACCCCAAAGTGTCCTGTCTGTCAACAGGGAAACTCCCGAAGGGGTGTGGAAGTAACAGGGGAAACACACCCGTCAGAGAACCCTGTGAATCGGAAGAATTAGCACCCAAAAACGTCCGAATTTTAATAAAAAACAACGATAATATATTTAGAGATAAGAGTAGTGTAGAATCGAAAAATTTTTCTGCAGGTCAGAGGCATTACATTCCATTAGAAGATCGCCAAAGAAATTATGCTAAGGTCAAGGAGAGAATTTTTAACTCAGAGTTTACTGTAATCCCGAAAAAAATTATTGAATTGAGACAAAAATCCAAGAAGTGGCGTGAGCAGCGAAGATATTTGATAGAAACTATTTCGAGAGTGACTGGTATTGCCTCAGATCCCAGAGTTTTCTCGGAAATCAGTATGCAAGGAAAAATCATGAATGGGCTCCTAGACACCGGCGCTTCGGTTACTATGTTAGGGAAAAATTGCCGAGAGATAATAGAAGAACTTGGCATTCCAATTATACCAATGTCCAGCAGGGTAACCACCGCCGGAGGTACACAGTATAATGTTTTAGGGAAAATTAAAGCCATCATAAAATACCAAGAGCAGGAAAAATTTATGACACTGTATCTATGTCCTCAATTGGAACAAGAACTATATCTTGGAATAGACTTCTGGCGAACATTCGAATTAGCCCCTGATGTGATAGGAGCTGCTGAAATTAATATAGAAAAAGTTTTCAGGGATATGACTGCTACGGGTCCCGACTACAAACTCAACCCTCACGAGTTAACAAATGATCAAGAGAATCGATTAAAATGCATAGTAAAAAAATTCAAGACCTTTGAAGAAAATGGGCTAGGTTGTACTAGTTTAGAAAAGCATTCGATTAAGCTCGTGGAAGGTGCGGAACCGGTTAAAGACCGCCACTATCCAATGTCTCCAGCGGTTCAAGCTATCACGTACCAAGAAGTCGATAATATGTTAGCACTTAATGTTATTGAGGAAAGTGAAAGCCCTTGGAGCAATCGTACAACTATCGTACGAAAGCCCGGAAAAAATCGTTTCTGTCTGGATGCTCGAAAGTTAAATAAGCTCACGGTCAAGGACGCATATCCCCTGCAAAACATTGAAGGAATACTAAGTCGCATTGATGAAACTCATTACATTAGCAGCGTGGATCTTAAATATGCGTTCTGGCAAATCGAATTAGACGAAGAAAGCAAGCCGTACACCGCTTTTACGGTCCCAGGCCGTCCATTGTATCAATTCCGTGTGATGCCGTTTGGATTGTGTAATGCTGCACAAAGGTTATGTCGACTGATGGACAAAGTCATTCCCCAACGACTCAAGGAGAATGTCTTTGTGTACCTGGACGACCTGTTGATTATTTCAAGTGATTTCGACGAGCATCTTCGTCTATTGAATGAAGTAGCCGATTGCCTTGACCGAGCGAATTTAACAATCGGGTTAACCAAGTCAAAATTTTGTTTTCGTCAGTTGAGATATTTGGGATTTATTATTGGAGAAGGCATGTTGCGTACTGACCCCGAAAAAGTAGAAGCAATTCGAAAAATTAGAATTCCCAAAAGTGCTAGGGAAGTGAGAAGTTTTCTGGGTACAGCAGGATGGTACCGAAGATTTATTAAAGACTTCGCGTCACTTTCAGCTCCCCTTACTGATACCCTGAAGAAATCGCCCAAATTCGTAATTACGGACAAGGCAAAGGAGGCATTTGAAAACTTAAAGAGGGCCTTAACTTCCGCACCGGTGTTACGCCACGCAGATTTTTCCAAACCCTTTTTTATTCAATGTGATGCTTCGGAATATGGCATCGGCGCTGTTCTATTTCAGCTGAATGCCGAAGGACATGAGCATCCGATCGCTTTCTATTCGAAAAAGCTCAATAAGTGTCAGAGAAATTATAGCGTGACAGAGAAGGAATGCTTGGCGGCGGTGATGGCTATCAAAACTTTCCGTCCTTACGTGGAGCTAATGGAATTCACCGTGATAACAGATCACGCTAGTTTACAATGGCTGATGAGTCTAAAGGACCTCAGTGGTCGTTTAGCTCGCTGGTCATTGCAACTTCAGGGATTTAACTTCAAAATCGAGCACCGAAAAGGAAAGGAAAATGTTGTCGCCGATATGCTATCCCGCCTACCCAATGCCGACGAAATAGACATGAATCGGGTTTTTGAATTCGAGACCACCGAGTTTGAAAGTGATTCGTACAAACAGCTTAGAGAAATTATTGCAAATAAAAAGGAGAATCTCCCCGATCTAAAGATTGTCGACAATATGGTATTTAAAAGAGATCACAAGTCCTATAACCCAGAAACACAAGAGTTTCAGTGGAAATTGTGGGTCCCAGAGTCTTTGACCCATTCTTTAATAGAGCAAGCCCATGATAGAACGACGTCAGCTCACGGAGGCATATCAAAAACCATTTTTCGTTTAAGAGAAAAATATTACTGGCCTCTAATGGTATCCCAGGTTAGGCAATATGTGTCTAAATGTACTGTTTGCAAAGAGACAAAGCCTACCAATGAAAATACTCAGCCTCAGATCGGAAATGAAGTCGTGACAAATCTTCCCTTCCAGAAACTCTACGTTGACTTCCTCGGGAAATACCCCCGGTCTAAAAGTGGCAACGCCTTTATATTTATAGTGGTGGACCACTTTAGCAAATTTACATTTCTTAAGGCAATGAAAGAGGCAACAGCTTCCAATGTGGTAAAATTTATGGTTGAGGATATATTTCGTAAGTTTGGCGTACCCGAGACGATACATTCCGACAATGGGGCACAGTTCGTATCTAAAACTTTCAAAGACATGATTGAAACATATGGAATCAATCATATCCAAACAGCTCCATATGCTCCGCAGTCTAATGCATCTGAGAGAGTCAATCAATCAGTATTGGCGGCGATTAGGGCATATCTAGAAAATGACCACAGAGATTGGGACCTGTATCTAACAGACATAGAGTGCGCCTTAAGAACATCGATTCATACTGCAACTGGTGTAACGCCATTTTTCGCGCTGTTTGGTCATAGTATGTATACCCATGGTTCAGATTATAAATTAGCTCGGAAGCTCCACTCATTGGCGGACCATGAAATTATACATTTAGATCGTAACGACAAGATGGAACTAATCCGAAATAAAATTAGACAGAATATGCATCAGGCTTATCAACAAAGCGCAAAAAGGTATAACGCAAGGGCTCGTACGATTATTTTCTCTCCGGGGCAAGAGGTATATAAAAGAAACTATGTTCTTAGCGATTTTGGGAAAAATTTTAATGCTAAGTTTGCCCGGAAATTTACGAAGTGTCGTATAGTAAAGCCCATAGGAAATAATATGTATTCTCTCGAAGATCTAAATGGAAAGGCGATTGGAATCTGTCATGCAAAAGATCTTAAAAGATAAGTGGAAAAGAAAGTCTGTTCAATCCCCTTTCCCAATTCAATTTTTATAAAAAGAATTCTAAAATAACTTTCAAAAACTATTTCACATTTGGTACCAATTCTATATCACATTTATCAGCAATTGTTTAATTCAAAATCGAATGAATCAAAACAAAACATAGAAAATGTGTCGGATGAAACTAAATACGATAGTAAAATCACCTTCGTACTGAATTCATTCGTATTAAGGTTCAAAAATATCAGCTGATCTGTTCCCCTAATTGGGTAATTCAAAGTAATCAGACTCTAGTTTCACGTTTATCACAGCTGTCTAATTTCTTTTACAAAATATTCTACGCGACATACAAATTTGAAAAAAAAAAAAAAAAATTTTACTCAAACACACCCGGTGGCGATAAAAATAGCACAATCTGGTTTATTCCGGCATAAATTAATGAAAGATTCCCATACATAAAAAGCGAACATACATAAAACTACATTCTACCAGACAATCACGTAGACACCACGATTATGGTATTTGTTTACCTATCAATCACATCAGCAAATACCGCATACAAAATCCGTTCTTCGGCAACCACGACGACAAGACAGGCATAGGCACAAATATTTCCGCATGCAAAATGTTTCACCACCTATTAAGGAATGAAAGTTATTAAATGTTCAAAACAAACAAAAAAGTACCGAAATACATTCCTAGGGCTATGCCCGCTTTCTGTCAAAATACTTCAAAATTGTATGCGACAAAATGTTTTGATAATTGTTGTTATTTTTTGAATGCGTTATTGAACGCACGGATTTTTTTTCAAAAATGTGATCCAAACTGTTTATTCCTTCAATTCCAGGACAAAACAGGGTAATATTTTGAACGCCGGCCACGCAGTGTTCGTTTTTCCAAACATTGACCTTGAAAATATTTTTTTTTATTTTCAAAACAAATAATACACAATAATGACAGAAGTCGGGCACACTTGGGAAAAAAATTGTAATCAGCTTTCAGATCTACCTTACTTTTTTATTGTACCATGATTTCAATAATTTGATCAAATTATTTGTGTATCAAAGTACGTATAGATTCCAACTTTGAAGATTATATCCATAACCAAGAAGAATGTGTGAAATTTTGATGAAATCGGAGAATTTTTCATTTAGAGCTGTTGGGTGTTACCAGTGTGGATCCGCCAGAGAGGACAAATATATTCCAACTCCACACAAGGTCTTGGGTTGGTAGAATTATTGGGTTGTTCCGGATGTTTACCTTTTTGTAGTGAAGGTCCCAAAGGAGTGGGCCGATAAATCCCATCCGTTCCTCTGAACTTGTCTTAGTAGAAATACTGAATGCGGGATTTTATAAATAACCGAATGCGTATTGTAAAATTTATGAGCGTTTTTGATCTTCCCAAATGTTGACCTGCTATAGGGGAATTACCAGCGAGTTTCCCGGACTCGGAACTCGATCGATGTTTGGTAGTGACACGATATTTTCAGGGTGTCGGATCGAGAATTATCAGGCGAACTAGCAAGACATGTTTCACAGATCTGATGGACAGATTAGAAAAATAAATTAATTTATGTGGTTCTATTTCGATGGGGGATATTTACCAGCATGAGGGGGAGGGCTTTGACCAGCCTGCTGTTCGGAGCTTATGCCCGGCATGAGACCTTCAGGGAGTGGGATGTCCCCACGTAAATGAGTAATGCGGCCGTGCACATCACCTCCGTCCTCGATTTTGTGGCCGAAGTTGAAGTTTTGTTGCAGGCCGTTCACATTCGGCGCAAAAAGGCAACAAATATATGGGGCCGGGTTTTTTGGCAAAACCTGTCCACAACCACCGCAGAAATTATCCCAATTCTGTTGGTAGTGCATCCCATAATTGGTCCTCAAATGGATTTGCTCAGTTTTCTTGGGTTTTTAGTGAGGATGGTGAGGATGCTTCGAGATTTCAATTTGCTTGTAATTTCTGCGGGGTGTGTAGTCTGGGTGGCGATGGGATCAAAATGCCGGAAATGGTTTGATAGGGTTCGCTACGTACGAAATTAGGCTCGAACAGGGTTGAGTTAAAGAGTATTATAAAGGTAGTGAATGACAGGGTGACTCAGGCTAAGAAGTGACTAGGCAGCCCTATGATTGCTGAGTAGGTGGGAACCTACTACTACTCCGGGGTGAGCTGAAATGAGAATTCACAATAGAATAAAAAATGGCTATTGACAGTTGAAAAGAAAAAGGAATGAAAATTGAAAATGGCTCAGGAAAATGGTGTTTCGTGGAAAATGAGCGTCTGGCGGGATTCACTGAGAAGAGGGGTATAAAAGGCTGCGAGCATAAGAAAAGCCAAAGTTAAGAATAAGACGTTACCGGTGAAACTTAGCTAGAGAGCAGTGAAGAAGTGGAAAAATTTAATTTGTGTGTTGCGATTTTTTTATTGTGTAAGTAGTTTGTAACAGTGGTTTGTTGAGTAATGTGTTGTTATATGTGATGTGTGTTGCTCCAACAGGAATATTCCGGTGGTGTATCAAGCTTTTTTGGAAGCACCGAAAATTGTCCGGTTTTGGTCAGCACAACGGCGGGAAATTGCCTTTTCTTTTTGGTAACGCAAGGTAGTGGCAAGTTGTCCACAGGAGAAAAAAGCCAAAAAAAGTTACATTGAGGGTGTGGAGATTTGAATTGTAAACTGGCCAGCTGCAACTTTGAGCTTTTTGCTGTGCCTGTTATTGATCCCGCCCAGAACGCCGGCATTGTAAAAGGACCAGTCAACAAGTCCAGCTTCATTTCAGGGTTTGCCTGGCGTTCAAAATCTGTTTCCTCCGGAAAGAAGCGTAAACTGGGAGAAGAGATAAGAAGAATTAATCAATAACGTTATAAATCACTGCTCAGGTAAAAGGTGTCTTACCGTTGTGTTGTCCTTGATAGATATATTTATATATATATGTGACGTCCATAAAATTTGCTGTCTCCTTTTTTGGAACTAAAAGAAAAGAAAAAAAGAGTTAATAATCATAAATTTCGAGAAAAAAAATATAATATTCAGTATAAAGATTTAGTAATAAGATAGGTTATAGTTCTTAGGATTTAAGTAATAATCAGTTTGTAAGGGAAAAATACCGCGTTTATTTTCAAAGGCTAGGAGGTGTTACAGTAAAATTATCTTGAGTCCTTGTGATTCGATCTGATAGTTTAGGCCGTGGAATTTTAGCGGCAATTAGGCCGGTTAAGAGAGCTCTTTTAGGTGGCTAGTAATTTCGTATAGACGCGTGAATATTGCGCGGGAAAAGCAAGGCAAAGGATAATATATTGGTTTCTACCGAGTAATTAAAGCCATAGATTTAAGAAAGCCCGGTATTATTCTTAATTTGTTTTTTTTATACCATACAGTTTGTCAATTTTAGTGTAAGAAAAAAAATAGTAGAGAAAAAAATTAAGAAAATATTTAAAGCTAACTTATTTTTTTTAATAAAATTAAAAATGATTCTTTTGTAAACAGTAGATACTAATATGTGTTGCTAAGTTTGTATAGCTTGGGGGGAAGGTGGTATGAAGTAAGTGTGTGATTCGAAGCGTGTGGCTCAAGGGGATTCAGAGAAACGCAAGAAATGGAAATACTGGATCCAGGTAGGGTGGGCGAGTGTGGGATCGATCCACCGAGATCCCTGTATGATGACTCCTATTTTGTATATCGTAGAGTAGAGCAATTGTAGTAAAGTCCCCTTTCAATGTTAGTGTGTTGGATTCGATTGGCGGGTTGAGATCCCTAGCCCTGGGAGTCTCTGTGACAGTCGGATGGCCTAATCGTATGCCGAGCATATGCACACATAACAACTGAAATGTAAAGTTTCAGCTACTTTGATAGGAAATTGTGGAAAAGACCCTCAAAAGAGGTACTGTTATATAGGGGCGATAGCAAAAATAAGATTTTTTTGCAAGCAAAAATTTGGCGCATAGCGCATAGGGGCGATAGCAAAAATAAGATTTTTTTGCAAGCAAAAATTTGGCGCAATGAGAAGCCGAAATGTAAAATTGCAGCTGATAAAGTTTAAAGTTGTTGCTAACAGCATCGAAATACTTATGGGCTCTTCAAAAAAGTTTTCAACGCGTTTCAATCTTATGGCGAGGGGTGTATCAAAGCTATAATACCCAACCCTTGTTTTGGTTGTATATAGAGAATGTGGTCAAATATAATTTTCCATATCTTTATATATCCATATATTGTTTTATTTACAACAAATAAACTCTTATCGCTTGTTTACCTTCCGTCCAGTTCAAAGTTATTGGTGTTGTTTTCTGTTTTGCAATTATCGCGTTGTTTTAATTAACAATTAATTAATTTTTCCTTCTTTGTCTTTTGCAATGCGCTCTAAAGGTTTGTCTTTGACAAAAATAGCCTTCAGGTCAAAACGACTGAAAAGTTGTATAAATTTATTGCTGAAACGCAAAAATATGCAATCGAATTTACTTGGTTATAACAAAAAGATATGGGCTATTTGGTAATTTATTGCAACAAAAAATTTAGGAAGATTAAAATGTCCCAAAGGAAGTTACTGTTTTTTTTTTTGAGTGGTTACATAAACAATTTCTTCCTTATTTAAAATTTAAATACTTTGTATTGGACAAACGGAATGAGACAGAATTCTGAAATTCGGAATGAGAGTCAGCAGATAGATAGATGAACCAATGAATTTCCGCTAACGTTACAAAAAGTTCTAAAATGGTACTAAACTTCTAAAATGAATGTGAATGGATAGAGCTTAAAACTTGAAATTTGATATGAGAAGCAAGTTTGATATATGAAGGCGGTTTTGGAAATGTGTGTTATAATTGTACGAAAAGAACTAAATAGTACTACATTTGTTTGTTGTTTGTTTTTTCTTTTAAAATCGTAAAAATGCAGAATGTAGCCGTTATATTAGGGTGACGACAACGTGACCTGTATAGGTAACTTTTGTCATAAGTCATTACAATATTCAAACTCGTAACTTGAATAATGTTGCTAAAATCATCAAAATACCGAATATAGAGAGGTCTTATTATATGGCGGCCATACCAAAACGTGGACCTGCACAGACAATTTTCTGTCAAAGGCTGTAATATATATTACGAACTATAAATACCTAATTTGAAACAATTCCGGTGAATAATGTCGCTAAAATCATCAAAATACCGATGTGCCGTTATAGGGGGCTATACGAAGACGTGGATCTGCACAGACAATCTTCTATCATAGGCTGTAGTATTCATTACGAACTTCAAACACAAAATTTGAAACAATTCCGTTGAATAATGTCGCTTAAATCGCCAAAATACCGAAAATAGGGAGGTACCATGGGGGCTATATCATCCATTTTCAATATCAAAATTCCTGCAGACGTAATACATATAAATTAAATAATTTGATTAACCTACTGAATTTCGTTCGGAAGCTAGAGTGAATTCCACAGACGGATGGCATGGAATCGACATAGACTTTTCGCTGACGAAGTAGTGGAAAATTGCTAGTAAATTATAAATCAACAAGTCTATACAATAGGTACTATACAAACCTATTTTGTCAATGGTTTTAGTTCTCATTGAGTTCAAAAATAGAAATATTAAAATATCCCATATTAAATGCAATTCCCACTAGTAATGAAATCAGGATCACCTCGCATTTCCAAAATGTTGCATCATTCCAATTTTCATATAATAATAAAAAAAAACATTTAATGTCAATGGACAAAGTCAACAAATTTGATCACATGCCGCCCGCCATCGTTTCGCTCGTTTTTTTTAATATATATGTAATGAAATGGTTAATACCCATAAAGAATTTTGAACGTGATGAAATTTTCATCGAATGGCAAATTATTGGATAATTGCCATAAATTGTTTACAAAATATTCCACTGGTATTACTATTTTTTTTTTTGCAATGGCCATTAATAAATTTAAACAGAAACGCATATTCAGCCATCTTTTACGTCATTGATCTAAATTTAATTGTCATAGTCTCCTCATCTATAGGATAACCTTCAGACCGTCTCTGTATATTTGTTTATAATTTTTTTTTATAAAAATACAAATTTTTATTAAGAAATATATACAAATAACTATCTTCTATACCTATACAAGGGGAAAATGTTTGTACGTTTGTTTGTTTGTAATTTATGGACTCGAAAACCGCTGAACAAATTTTCCTGAAAATTTCCAAGTGTGCTACAACATCTGATGAAAGTAACCTAGGTATTATAAATTTTGGAAATTCCAATTGGAACTGGAGATATAGCATCAGAATCGGAGGTACCTCCAAAAAAATTAGATTTTATATGCACATATCCTTTGACCGATTGCAGATATAGTCTCCAAATTTGTAACGGAATTTGAAAGGAACATACATTTGGCAAATTATATCAAATTCGGTACAGATTAGAATATAGCTCCCATATATATTTTTGAGTGATTTCGTATATTTGATGCAACATACACGATATGTATGTTCGATTCATCAGAAAACAAATTTGTTAAATTATATTGAAATCGGTTCAGATTTGGATATAGCTCCCATATATATTTTCGGTTGATTTCACATATTTGATGCACGAAACGCGATATGTATGTCCAATTCCAAGGAAATTCGGACAGAAAGACGAACTTTGTTACCAAAAAATGTTTGTCAACTTTTATTGAAATCGGTTGAGGTTTCGGTATAGATCCCATATATATATATATATGCACCAAATACGATATATATAACCGAATCCAATGAAATTCAGAATGTGTGGCGCAATTAGGTAACAATAATAAATTTGACAAATTAATTGGAAATCGGTTAAGATATAGCTCCCACATATATATTTTCGGACGATTTCACGTATTTGACGCACCAATTTTAATGAAATATGGAAGGTGTGACGGAATTCGGTGTAAAAGTAAAATTTGTCAAATTATTATTCAGATTGGGATATGATTTTATTAAGAAGCTAACAGTAAAAAAACTACACAACAATTTAGTTGAGGATACGACTATAAGGGGGTTGTTGCTCGAATTCTCTAATTGCAACAGAAATGCAGTTTCCGGCACGCTTGGTATTTGTTATTAAATTAATAAGTTCGAAGGACAAACCCTTCGTGTATGCGGACTAAATTTGGCATGTTCCTGCTTTTCTCATGGTCAGCTGTTCGTGGCATGTTCACGCGTTGGTAGACCGAGCGATTTGTTTGTTTACGCATTTAAGTATTACAATAATTGTGTTTTTTAAATTCTTGAATTTGTTTTATTTTTTTAGACCAACATATATTTGTATATAAAATTTTGAATGCGTATAAAATCAAAAGGGGTAGTACAATATAAAAAAAAGAATCCGCAAAAAAAGTATGACATCATCTTATTGTCAAAATGTATATTTTTAAATACATTGTACGTACACAATTCAGAGATGGGAATCTGTTTTCTATGTTGTGAAATTTGACAAAATAAATTGCAGAAAATGCAGAGATGGATACATTTATTTGAAATGACTTTACCTTCTTAATTATACCATGCTTTGTTTGCAGAACATGCCAGAATGTCAAAATATTACTAAAATAACCGATTTTTCCTTTATGATATTGACAAAAATTCTAACAATTCTTCTAATACAACTAATGAGTTTTTGCAAGTTCTGGGACAAAGCATTCAAAAAACAAGAATTTAGCCCCTTCTGGCTCCACAAAAGTAATGTACTTTTTATGTGGAATTTCCGTCGAAATTTTGAAAAGGTTGCAATTTCTTTACTCCCCTAAAACATTTAAGCATACAAAATGTTTAATTTTTTTTTATATATTTTCACCGAAAGTTTATTTTTCCACATAGCTAGAAATCTTGCTTGATATGTATCTTATTTTCAAAATTGAGAAAAAACAATAACAATGGTAATATCACAACAAAACGCCAAAATACAACAACTACTACCCTATGCTTTTTGCAGACATTGTTCAAATAATAAACAAGTCCAAAGATCAGTGGTAAACGTGTTTTCGCCCCCACCCCTTCCCTTTTAAGGGGAAATAGTGAGAATTCTCCAAAAATAATAACAAAAATAAAAGAAAACAAAAACAATAACAGAGTAGCGGTAACAAAAACAAAAAGTCGAACAACCTCGAAAAAAAAAACTTTAAATGTCTAGCAAAATATTTATAAAAGCGAAGAAGTTCCAAAACATATGCTTACTCATATGTGTGTATAGGTGGCGCTTGTGTATGCGATAGACTACGTACGAGCGTATTGTATAAGCGTTTAATTTGCTACACATGTTTGGTTTTGTTGTTGTATCTTCTACTATGTTGGTGTTTTGGTTTGCCATAAAAAGAGAAAAAAGTAAACACATAG